AACTATACACCTTTTCAGCATTGCCATCTACTCTGCAAACAGTTTGTAATGAATTGTGTCAATGACACACCAGAATTCTGCACTTGTTGCATCTTGAGTATGATTTACTGACAAAGAAACTGAAGAGAAAGTAATGCTGTGTTGATATACACTGACATATAATGTTAGGAATATGAATATGTTATGAATGTACAAGACACTAGCATTGATTACAAAAGGTCAAGGAAAACTCTTCAAGTTAATTGACGTTATCTGTAAACCTAGGCATTTGTCCCAGTGGCCACTTTTCCGACACCGGACTTAAGCCATGCTTCAAGTGTGAGAAAGGATCCTACCGGTCTGAGGCTAGGTCGCTGTCCTGTCTCCCATGTCCAGTTGGTCAGTCTACAGCTAACGTTGGATCCATGGACATCGAGGACTGTGCAGGTTAGTGTTGCATGATCATCGTGTGTGCTAGTTATTCACTGTATTATATTTCAGCACTGAAGAAACTCTGATGTTTACATGAATGCAACCTCAATGTACATGGACAAGTATAGCTGGAAGTGATAATTTTGATTTGCCAGTGAGCTTCAGCTACTTCAAACAAAGAACTCATGGCCAGAAGTCAGGGCACTGGATTCTGTAAACACTTTATTTGATGCGGTGAACTGTGGAAGTTAAATGTTCTAACAATCATAAATCTTTGGAACAGTTTGAAAAATCATATATGTGACTAAATCAGTAAAGTAATATTAATTGAAATGTAATCTGAGTGCACAATACAGTACTGCAACATATCCTACCTGCCATGCAGGTAGATCCTTAAATTAGGTAAATTAGAAAGAGCTCAGAACTAAACATGAATATTCAGAATCCAATGTTCTCAAGAACAGCTAACAAGTGACATGTCCGTAACTCTAGAACTATCTACATTCAATTTAACCTGGGAATACATAGGGCCACACCTGGGGCCTGCAATTAAAATGTAAAGTCTAACAGAAACATGTATCACAAATCATCTTGTCCATTGTAGCTAACTTGTTGGCCTACACTTAAGACATGCAAAAATAAGCTTACAAGTTGTGGCTTTGCAGCTATCAAAATCTCAAGAAAACAATAAAAGTATGAAGTTTAGAGCAAAGCATATGAGAAAATGGCTATCTGGTCAATGAATTTTCCCCTGACTTCTGTAAGGGGGTCTTGAATAGCGCCACCATGTACTGGGGAGTAATCTCTGAAACAATACTGTAAACTGTAAAGGGTGCCACCGGTGTTGAGGAATGATGGCCACTGGGTCCTTCACAGTACAGTTTTTGCTCTCAGGGGGATATACTCTGTGCACAGAAGTATCTGTAGTGTGAAAGTTAGGAGTAAATCACAGACCACAAAATGGCTGTGATAAATGGAAGAATCGCAACCTACCGGTACCCTGATGAAACTTAGAATTAAGCCCTTCGCGTTGGGATTATTTTGACCGCGACTGCTGGGCTATGGTATGCCCAGTATGCAGGGCTTGGTCCAGCAGCAGGCCCCATTGAACCAGCAGCTGCATGGTGAATAGACTGTATGTGTAATATGCACTAATCCTCACACAAAGCCGCGGCTCTTGCCGGCTCTTGGGGCTAAGAACGGAGAATTTGATAATTTGTTTTGCCAACAGTTTCAGTAATTGGTTCTAGTTTGACTGTGTTACATTAAAATTTTGCTGATAATCTTATGTATTGATGTTTGACTTTACCTAGACGTATGTCCTGCTGGGTCGTTCTCTGCGTCTGGGGTAGAGCCATGTACTATTTGTCCACTCCATAGCTTCCAGTCTGAGCAAGGTCAAAGTTCCTGTCAGCAGTGCCCTTACCATCACACAACGCAGGTCACTGGAGCTACGGATCTGAGCATGTGTTCTGGTAAGTCAGACTGAAGAGTTGAAAAGAGAAACTAGAGGTCATCTGTCTGTTTGCCAACAGAAAATAGGGCTTTTTTGCATCCCTTTCTTAATTCAAACAACAATTACTGCACAAACCTGACGGCATAAATCTGTT